CCATTTGAGGGGCATGTTTGGGCTTAGCCTTAGGGCCAAATGCCTCAAGGTTGGTGCACCTTGTTTTAATTGACCCATCTTAGGCATCTCGATTGATTGATGTCAAATTCTATAGATACCTGTCCTTTGCAGAAAATTCATGCACTTTCCAAGAATGTTTTTCGATTACCCACTATATAAAGGGTATAAATCGAGCAAGTCCCATCCATTGTGAATGACTGTGACAGATATGCTTAACCCACTCGCCTTAGATGAGTGAGGTATATTCCCTTCGATGGGATATGCTTTGGTTTTAGACTTAAGGCTAAATACCTTATGGTTGGCGCACTTTTTTTAGACCAACCATCTTTTCAGGCATCTCGATTGCCCAAAGTCAAGCTCGATTGCTACCTCCCTCATGCGGGAAAGCAATACTTCTTTCCTAAACACCTCTACTCGGTTAAGCGCCCCTTTGGGGCCAAAATAGTGTTTCTCACTCACCTCAGATGAGTGTGGTTTTTTCTCTCCTGAGGGATGTTTCTGGTTTAGCCTGAGAGCTAAATACTCTTAGGTTGGTGCACTATGTTTTGGCCAACAATTCTAGGACACTGTGATGTTCCCCTGCAGCGGCTATCCTTCGGTAGCAGTAGCATATATAGAGTTGGTATGTTTTGATCATCCACCCTCTTTAAAATTTCTGACTCGGTCAAATTCTATTGTCTTGTCAAGAACATGTCCTATCAGTTTTAGACTTCGTTGATTGTCTGTCTGATCCATGTTCTTAATCAAAAGCACTTTTGATGTATGACGTTTGCCCTGGTATTTCCCCGGCGAGAATTGCCTTAGACAATTCTTGCAAGAAATATCCGTTGAGTTTATCCCTGGCGAGAGTTACTTTGCTAGTTCCGATGGATCTTTCAGCGAAAATTACTTCACTAGTGCTCGCTTGAAGCACCCAATGCTTGAACCCATGAGTCCACTTAGATGTTATGACATCTTTTTCGATCAATTTGGTTGGTTCTATCCGCCTCATTGAATGGCATGTTGCATCAGCGGCTAACTGACCCATATCTACATCGAGACATCTAATATCTCCTCAGTAAGAATTAGTTTGCTAAGTGGGAGAATCCGCAGCGAGAGTCGTCTCGTTAATACTTGTGAAAGCACCCTTGTGGTTAGACTGTTCTAGTTATCTAACTTCATTGATATTTCAATCGGTTTGGTTGGTTTTGTCCGCCCCGTCAAATAACATATGTCAGTCAACTAACTGACCCATGTCTGCATCGAGACATCTGATGCCTCACCAGCTAGAACTATCTTGCTAAATAGTGGGAGAATCTTCGACGAATCGTCTTGTCAGTGCTTGTGAAAGCACACTTGTGGTTAGACCATCCTGGTCATACAACCGCGTTGATATTCTCAATTGCATCGGTTGATTAAATCTGCCAAGTCAAGTAACATGTATCGGTTTTACCACCGATCCATGTTTTGTTGAAATACTTTGATGTCCAATTGTTTTGATGCTCGATAGGGTTACTTCAGTCAATCCAGACCAATACCCTTTAAAAGAGAAGTCGATCGTTGTGTCTGCCATGTCGAGTTGCATGTTGCATCAACTTTTATAGCTGATCCATGTTTTGTCAGAATGCCTTGATGTCTGGCATTGTTCCTATGCTTGTGAGGGTTACCTCGATCAATCAAGCTCGATATCCTTTAAAAGAGAAGCATCTCTCCATGCAGGATCGCCGAGTGTCCGGTACTTTGAGCATGACACATCAGGCTATCGCGACGTACGATTGCTCATTTGATATATGGTCAAGATACATACCTCACGTGTCTTATGATATATCCGAGCAGGATACATCTCCTATTTTGATTGATGCATAGTCAGAATACATACCTCCTAGACTATTTGATAGGGATACATACCTCCCTCGTCACCTGATACTCTGGTTAATGGAACTATCGTTTTCACTTGTCTAACCCTTGACGGTAACACCTCGTTCCGAGGCACGTCGGGTTTTGCAGTCATCTGGCCTAGAAACCTCTCAAAACATACAACTCTTCAGACGATTCTTCTATGAGAGCATTTTCAGTTTTTTAGCCACATACTTCGATGTCATATGACATTATAGTTAGCTTTGTTATGAGAACATCTTGTCTTCAGATGTTTTGGTTTTATAGTCATATACTTCGATGTTACTCAAGCCATATGACCTCTCCGTCAGCTCTACTATGAGGATTCGTCTTTGGACGTTTTCGACTTTATAGCTGCATACTTCGATGTTGTCAGAGCCATATGACATTATAGTCGGCTTTGTTATGAACACAACTCGTCTTTTAATGCTTCAGCTTCGTAACCGCTTGTTGCGACACTTCTCAAGTTATATGACGCTTTAGTCAGCTCTCTCATGAGAATACGTTGTTGTATTCAGCTTGTTAGTCATTTGATTATGAAATCACTCAAAGCATATGCCCCTTTGGGCCGGTTCTACTTTTGAGAGTATCTTGTCCTCATACATTTCTGACCACCTAGCCAATTAGGGTGAGTGCCTCCAGAACCATATGAAACACATGATTTTATAGACGGTTCGATAGTAAGAGTATCTCAACTGGTTGGCAAGCTACCGCCTTGATCAAGATATTTTGTGCTTTATAGCCTCCTGACTATGGTGATGAGTGCTTCTTCTCCATGGAAGTCAATCTGACTCATAATCGAGTTCCTTTCGAGAGAGCATAATATGAGACTTGCGGTCACACCAGATGATCGAGCCTCCTACTTTTGTCGTTACGACTGAGGTCAGGTAAATTTTGGGTTCCCGCCTCAATCATTTTGAATATGGTCAAATAGAGGGTAGTTATTTCTTGCGACTGGAGGTGACTTTTTAGTCAAAAATAATTAAAGATCCGGGTTACACGAGATGATCGGGTCTTTTTAACTGTCCACACTGTTGAGTCACTGAACAGTTGCCACTTCGATTAGAATGTTTTGAGCTTTACGACAACCTGAAGATTGTGATGGGTGTCACACTCTGCGTGAACTTTCTATTAAGTTCTTCGTGCAATAGCACAACAAGAGATCTGGGTCACACAGCCAATTGTCACTTTTCAATCAAGGTACCTTGAGCTATATAGCTGCCAGATTGAAGTGATGGATGCTTCATTTTAAGGGGATCAGTCAAACTCGCAATGGGGTCCCTTTCAGGAGAAACATAATAGGAGATTTGGGGTCACATGAGATTATCGAGTTTTCTCCTTTACTGTTACGACTGAAATCAGGTAGAGGTTTTCGTCATTCTGTCATTTCAAAAGATAGGACAGACAGATTGATCTACCGTTACGAATGAGGTCAAGCAAGACTTTCCTCAACCACGTCTAGAAAATCTAGACTGGTTGACGGGTCTCCCTGACCCTCCTAACTCTACCTTTTACGATTACTCTACCCTTTCGTTTGTTGAGTCCCTTTGAGCTATATCGCTCCTTTGACGTAGTTGGTATATCTTGATGGCCCAATGCCTATAAGTTGTCGCCTATTTGGGATACGACGATTTGTCATATGCCCTTATGGTTCAAACGTGCTTTGACGTATAGGGAAATCTCTATCAAGATGATTTTAGTTCTTTTGTGGGCTCCGTGTGCCGATGAGCCGCTATTAATTTGAGATGTGAGAGATTTACTTTCCGTTTAATGGCTTAACGAGAGCTTTAAAGCATCGTGATGTTCCCACACGGAATAACCTTCATTTGATGATCTATTTCCCCGGGTCTATGATAATATAAAGTGAACCCCTTTTATCGAGAATATTCTTAGGCATCCCCCAAAATATAATTATCTAGAGGGAGACGTTCCTCTGGGAGACTCTTGACCCAGAACAAAAATGTTCTTTTTAGTTCTCTGGTTACGGGTGGCTTATGTATGGATTCTCTTCGTAAATACCGTGTTTCGAGGAATTTAGATCTGATCTTGTTTAGACGTATACTCTCGACACATCACACGAAAATTGTTCATACATAAGCCTTCCGTCTCTTTACTTTTTATTTGTTTGTCTATTTGTATCTTTTCTACTTGATTACTCTCCTTTTTCAATCATTTATATGAATTGGGGGAAGATTTATTCGAACAAAGGAATAATATGACGATATATAAATAGACAAGCTGACGACTCTAAGTGCTAAAAAGAACCAAGAAAAACAACAACAAAAGATGATCTTCTCAAATTCAAGATGAGCCTTTAAGAAACTTCAATATTAATTATCAAAACTTTTACAAAAACAATACGAAAGTACACCCAATAATTAAACAATTTGCCAGTACTACTTGAAAAGGAACCAATCTGAATCAACTTTTCTTAAGAAAATAAAATACCCATTTCAACTAGAACTCAAGTCACAAATAGTCTTGGTAAACTTTTAATAGCAAAATCCACTTGTGGAGAGTACCAAAAAATAAAAAAAATAAAAAAGAGCTAACCGACTATAAAGTTGATTAGTTTAAATAATGAACGTGAAGCCGAAGAAAACAATTCAAACCAAAGTTATAGATGGTCTCGCAAAAGAGTAGAAGGGTAAAATATCGTCTAAGCATATGTCTAATGAAACCATTCACACAAAGGATTTATATGAGAAATCTTAAGTTTATTTTCAGAAATCATTTGATAAGCACATAGAGTAGGGGTCGAGTAGCGGGGGTCGAGTAGCACAAGAAGTGTAATCATCAAAAAAATAAAAATAGGATATGAATCTGTAAATAATTTTAATACTAGTACGAAAACAACGAAACTTTTTTGCCAATGAAAAAAAAAAACGGAGCTATAAACTCAAAAACCTTAACTTTGGAGTAAATAAGAATAGATTTACTATGAGAAGATGGCAACCAACTTGTGCCAAAATGAATCAAATCATTCTGAAAGGATAAAGAAAAATAAGTGTAAAAAGGTGGAGAATTCTTCTCACCAACTAATTCAACAAAAGAACAATGTGTGCACACACATGCAGCAATATTTGTTGCATTCAAAGCTTGGGGAGGAACTGAATGTCGCAACATTGCTTTCCAAAGTAGTGAAGGAGTGTCAACAACACCAATGGAGTGAACTCTTTGCACTATAACTTGATAAATAGGACGTTTAGCTGATGCAAGGGAAGTTGGTGAGAAGATCGAGTAAGGAATGGAGACTTCTGCAATAATTTAGATTACAAGTACTTCTAGAATAATGTTAATAGCATCGAAGTTCCAGGGAATCATCTTGTAACATAACGTGTAAGAAAATGGTTAATAAAATTTTAAAAAATAAATGCATGCAAGATCTTAAGCAGCACAGTTCTTTCCCTTAATATATGCCTTAAATCTTATAAAAAGAGTAGTGTTACTCAAAATTCCCACCGACTTATATATCAAAAATATGTAATGATGTGCAAAAGATAAAAAAAAATTGCAAGCTTTCTCAAAACATAGATCTATTGTGAATGGTTGCATTAGAAAACATAGTAGCTTGACATGAATGCCAAAAACACATAAATATCCAATATTAAACCACGAGACAAAAAAAAAAAAACTAGCTTAGTGCATGCATTTTTGTTACCTCAAGTGAGTCATTACTATCACTCAATTGTTCTTGCACAGAAGTCAATTGTTCCTCCAAACTAGATTGCTTAATCAACTCTGCTATTTTTTTCTCATACATTTGTGTAGTCTCGGCAAGTAACTTCTGAAAAGCTGAGCTCTCAAGTTGGTGCTGCAAATAATCAACACAAAATTTTGATGCCGAATAATATCTAATAAGCAATCTCAGTCAAGAAAACTAGTTTAAATTCATAGTTAAGCACTCGGTGTTGATAAACATTGTCAAGAAAATGGCCAAACGTATGTAGATCTTAGTGGCATGTTAAAAAAAGTATAAGTTAATGAAAGTATCTATAAACCTGGAGAAAATATTAATGAAACTATATTTGGCAATCTGACTGTTACCACAAGATTCTGAAGCACAGATCTTTACAACATTCTTTCAGTAGATATACATTAAAAGTTAAAAAGGTTTACCTTGTCCATCATAGCGAGATTTTTCTCTGCTTCAGCTAAGGATACTTCACACTCTTTCAAACGATTTTCTATGATATCTTTTTCATAATCTCTAAGTTTTTGCTCCCTTTCCATCTGGGATGTGAGAAAATCTACCTGATTCTCAAGCTTTCTGCACAAGCTTTCATAATCAAATTCTTCCTTTAGCTTCAATGTGTTGATAACCTTCATTGCCTGGAAATCAGAAAGCATAAATAAATTGAGCACGAGATTTCAAAATAAAAAACGCTTGTAACTTACATCCCATGTTACCATTGTAACTGTAGTTTTGCAAGCAATCAAAACTAAAAGATTGAAGGTGACTTGGACATCTATTAGAGCAGAATGTGGATCACTTCCTCCCGCGAGAGAAAACTAAAGAAAACGAGAGTATCGGTCCAATTGAATGACCGGTTCAGCTTTTTAGCCCAAGTGGTACAGGGAGGCCTCCTTAGTGCCCTATCTTACTTTATTAAAATAGGGCGACCTCCTTAGGGCCATATTTTACTTTATTAGGGTGGCTTCCTTGGAGCCACATTGTAACTGCAGTTTTGCAAGTAATCAAAACTAAAAGATTGAGGGTGACTTGGACGTCTATTAGAGCAGAATACGGGTCACTTCCTCCCACAAGAGGAAACTCCAGAAAACGAGAGTACCGGTCCGATTGAAGGATCGGTTCAAATTTTTAGCCAACATGGCACACAGCAGGCTCTATTTAACCTTATTCGGCCATTAATTAGGGTTATTTTTGCTTGGAGACATTTATATATGTTGTTGTTGTGATGCTTGGACATTTTACTTTTGTTTTATGCTATTTGGAGACGTTCCCATCTTTCTTGGACCTTTTTCTTCAAGTAGTAAATTTGCATCTTGAAGAGATGGTGGATCCTCCCATCCTTACCTCTCAGTTCACCTCACTTTTTTTAGATCTGACAACTGCCAAACCGCTTCCACCCTTTTCCAAACTCCGACGACCTCACATATTCTCTTCCTTTTGCCAATTTACGCAACTCTCCCCACTAAATCCAATCAAACAATTCATTCTAGAAACTCGAGAACAGGAAATAAATTTTAAGATGAACAATTGTAAACAACATCCATACACATTCTAAAATTTTGCAAGTACACAAGGTCCCCAAGATTACAATAAATACAAAATTAGCAATGAGAATAACCTATCATGCATAAGCAAAACAGTAGAATAAGACACTGGCCTTGTAACAGAAAATACAGAATATTACATGCCGGACATCGAGATTAAAATTTCTAATGCTGGCCAAAAGGAGCGGTTTTATTATCACTGTAAACTTCCTGGCGTAGAATTGCCCAAGAAACTAGATTATGGAGCAATTAAGCTATTGATAAAGGCATTGAGAATAAATGCAATATTATATTTGTTCATTCATAATAAAGGCAGTAAGCAACACTGACCCTCTGTCCAAACATTATTGTGCTTGCTGTTTCTGAATAGTGTTTATTAGATGGCCCAACTGTTATGACAAGAGAGGTCCTCGCATTTCCTGTACAACGGCAGAAGCAGAAAAAAAAGATTATAAATCACACAGAAAAAAGTGAAACGTACAGTTGGAGTCAATAAAATCATAATTATAGAAATTATTGTAAGGAAAAAAATTTAATAATGTGATGATATCATAATACGGAAAGATCCACTCAATAACTTGGTGGTGTTCAACTCTTTAGAACGGCAAGAAGAAAAAAGAAACTCAAAAGGATACCAGATAATATAAACTGCAGTAAATTAATGAAGATACTAGAGCTAACTGCCCTAAGGTGCTACATTTGCAATATATTACAATAAGACCTGAAAATAAAATAAAAAAATGTAATAAAATAAGAGAGTAAAACCTCCAAATGAGTCACGAAGGAGCCTCGTAAGCTTGGAATCTCTTGTTGGTATATGCGGGCTGTTTTCAGCTAAAGCATTTATGCATTTTCCAAGGGAGGTAAGAGAAAGATTAATAAACTTTGCCTCTTCTAGCATGTGACCCTCGCTACCTTCAAAGTGGAAAATATACTACCATAAAATAATGAGAAACAAAATTGGTGAATGAAAATAGCAATTCCGGCATCCAAAATAAAATTATAAAATTTATTTGTAACAGCTTAAGCAAGCCTAATAAAAAACAAATATAATTTAAAAGCCTTACCACTAAGAGCCGAAAAAAATGAAAACAACCTAATAGCCGAGAAAAATGAAAACAACCTAATGCAAAAAATGTATAAATTATGAATCAATCACATTATACTCCCTATCTAAAATGTATAAATTATAAATCAATGAAAAGCAAATTGCAGTTTTTCCCTTGGCCGCTGCCATTTGCAGGTAGTGTAGCTGTTTCAATCTTTCATCTAAAGTCTTTCCTTCAGCAAACGTTATATTATTATTCGAAACTTTCCTTAGACTCTTTCCTTATCTGATTGCTATCCTTTTTCCTATGGGTTTTAGTTCATTCTGAAGCTGAAGTCAACTGCTTGGTAGCTGTATTCGGTTTCTAATTCAAATCTTGGCATTCAAGGCACAACGAGACTCGATGAATTTGCTTGAAGGGAGTTTTCAAAGTTGAAGACTTACTGTTCTTGCTGATACTAAGATTGGAAACTAGTTGTGCTTGCCAAAATTAAATTTTAGTGATCTGAAAACTTGCAGTATTAGAATAAAACTTTGAGAATTATAAGAAATTTCTTATTTTGAGCTTCCTTGAACAGTAAAAACGACCCCAAAAGAACATAAAAATAATAATTGAGCAATTTATGGTATAATAAAATTCAGATTTATCTCAACTCTTGTGTGTTGTATGTTGCTGGATGAGAATTTTTTTAGCATTTGCAAGTTTTGACAACAACTTACTACTTCCGTGAAGCCTATAACTTCCAGCTTAGAGATTGTTGTATGTATGTGATTGAGATTCTTTCACAATTTGACATGTATCAATTTCCATTTTTGAGCCAAGAATTTCATTTCTTGGAGAGTTTTACATTTGATCTCTGATTTCCTATAGAATTTCAAAGTTTTGTAACTTCCAAACCATTATTTATCTACAGTACATTTTTTTGTAGCTTCCATTCTTTTTGGGGTATTTGCATACATAACACAAAATTCTTATGTATTTACATATCTAAGACCTAAACTTTCATGTTTAGATCCATTACACAAGTCTTTAACATGACATCAAAAATATCACTTTTATGAAAGATTAGGTGTTAGACGTGTAAGTACATAAGAATTATGTCATTGTGTGGTACGTGTGTAATTTTCCCAATTTTTTCTTTAATTAGGCTGAGAAAATATTATTTATGATATGCTGTATTTCAATGTGCATCTCATCTTAGGTCAGAATTATTAAACCCTAAACTTATGATGGGAATATGAGTATTAAAAGTAATTCACCTTGAGAATATTTTATTACAGTTGTATGTTTCCATAAACGTCCTAGTGAAGAGATGGAATGAATTAATATGCAATCTATTAAAAATGCTATATGAGGCTTTAACTAAATTTTTAAATGTGCATGGTATGTGGGTGATTTTAGGATTACCACACTTGCAATTAAAGTCTCCAAAAAAATCAGTATCAAGATCAGTTAAGGAAAAACAAGACTAAATAAGCAATGAAATAAATCAAAATAAAGATCTGACGGAGAAACTATCTTCCAGCCTCAAAACTATCATACATACCGTGACAAAAAGAACTTGTGTAACTAAATCTGGACCTACTGAAAAAGCTTTAGTATATGAGTACTATTTTGAAGATTTATTAAATGCAAAAGAAGATATGCAATTATAACATGAATCTCATATGATTATATTCAAAATGAAAAATTACTTGCATTAGAACACTGTATAAACTTGAACCTATATCTAAAAAATAGCTGGAATTTGGGTCATAATTGAATATTAGCATGAGAACACATCTGAACAAGAACGTACGGCATTAAGCCAAAAACCTTAAATGAAAATAACTTCCGAGAGAAATTAAATCTACTTCTAAAAAAGAAGCTCAAAATAATATTTGAACAAGAGCTAGAATTTGAGCTGAAAACTAAAATTGAACCTATCATATTTTAACCTGAACCACAAAGAAAATCAAAAATCTACACGACAATAAAAATCTGAGCTTCTTGCCCAACTTAAATCAATTGCTAAACGTAAAATCGAACGAATAATGCCTAATATAGCAAATGAATGCATAAAGAAAAGTAATAAAGTTTAATATTTAAGCCATTTGGACCAGGTTTCTTTAAAGAGCTTCTCCGTCACTGTAAGCATATCATATGTAGGTGTTTTGCCAATTTTCAATTTTCTTAATCATCTTATCTTCTATACATGCATTATAAACATTATTAATCTCATTAAGGAATGGTTTCAAATTATATTACTTCATTAATTGTCTGTACTATTTGAATGATTTAACTAATTTGCATAAAAAGATTCAAATAAAACTATCAATTATTTATAGCAACTATAAGTATTTTGTTGATTAAACGGGGGACATGTGGATTCAAACCAAATGATAAGGTTACGCATGTCAAAATTTTAAAAGGACTCCTAAAAAGACCACTAAGAAATTAAAAAACTTTATATAAAAGTTATTTACCCCACCGAGCTTTTCATCTAATATTGAGCTTATAATTATTTGGAGGAAAGACAGCCATATTCAAGAGACCAAATTTTTCATGTATCCTAGAATTACGATATATACAGTTTTGAATGAATGATAAAAAGGAAGATGCATATAATGCTAAAGACTGCTTCTGGTACAAATGAATATTCAATGAAATTTATTAAAAATTAATTTTTATTTTAATGATTTAAATTATGCGTGCATTTGTAAATATAGATTACAATAAAAACTCATAAGATGAACAAATAATGCAAGCTTCTAAGCCCCTTTATTTTTCTACATTGTATAGAAACTTTGTAAGGATCCTACTTCCAACCTTTATTTTCCCTTCTTTCACTCCTATTTGATCAAGTCAGATTTTTTCGACTTCCTTTCCAAAAAGTAAAATATCAAGAATATTGTAACCAAACTAATCCAATCGAAAGAGAATTTCAAGTGTTATGAACAATTTATTGCCTGACTGAAAAAGAACTATCCAGAGTGGTCTAAGATTGTGAAGGCCTTCCTAAAAGAGAGTGAATTGCTCCATCATCCTGTAGATCTTTCTCCAGATACGAAAAACCCAAAGTTCACATTTTGAAATGAAAGAGATTCCATGATCATGTCATGGATTATAGAACACCAACATGCTTAAAATCAATGAACCCAACATCTTCCTTATAACTATAAAATAAATCTCAAAAAATTGGATAGATAAGTTCAAAGATCTAAGACATTGCCCTCATTTATGAATCAAGACGAAGCTCTTAACAACTAAACAAGATAATTTTTTTTGTTATTGAATATTTCAAAGCAATGAAGGTGTATATTGTATTAGTTAAAACTTGAAAACCACCAAGATCTCAACAAGAATTGTAGTGATGACGCTAAAATTCCAAAATAATATTTAGAAAGAAAGGTTCTCAATTTCTGGCTGAGCTCATTCTAGAATTCAACCAAGTTCATATTCATATTATAAGCTAAGAAAATAAACCATCTCTAAATAAGATATTCTCACTTTAAAAACCAAAGCAAGAATAAAGATGGCATATAGCACGGCCTGGCGTAGGGCTCAAAATTAACCAAGACAAGAACGAACGGTCGAAAGTTGAAAATCAATTCTCTGCTATTCTATTTTTATTGCTAAAAAATTTAATACTTAAAAAATTAATTAAAAAATCACTAAAGAAAGCTATTCAAATTAACACGATTCCCGCCTCTTATACACATTTGATCATCTTCTATTCATCTTATTCAAAAGCTTAAAACTTAAAAAATATTAAAATAGCAAAATGAGTTATCTAAAGAAAACTCATGAGTGATCACGCTTACAAATTACAATAACTAAAATAAATTAAATCAATATGTATACTGGTCATTTATATCTCTAAGAAATTTATAATATACTAGTTTTTCATATTTTTATAAGAAATTTTATATATGCTAATTCATGTATCAATAATCTTTTCGAAATAAAAATACTTAAGTATTTTACATGTATTTACTTGAAAGTTACTTTTATTTTATACTCTTTACACACATGTCTCTTTTGAAGAACACTTTCAGCAAAATCTATCACACCCTGTTCAATATTATCTCGTTGGCAAAGCAGTTATCGATCTAACCATCACAAATTTTTAGAGAGGAAAGGTGTTTACCTGCCCCTGAGTGATATTATTTTGTCAGCACAATGGTTAGCGATCTAAGCATCATAATTGTTTGGGGTAGCAAGCTCTATCTACTCGTCCATTGTTGATATTATCCCGTCGACACAGCAGTTAGTAGTTTAATTATTATAGTTGTTTGGGGTGATAAGAAGACATCTACACGCGTGGGTACATTGGTGTCCCATGTCTGTACCATTAAGAGGTGAACTCCTCTAAACAAGCACATATAAGCACTCATATATAAACTATTTCATTCTTTATAACATGCATTATTTTGAAACATTTTCATAAATCTACAAATATGCATACTAACTCTGTTGTGCAACTAATCATCATACATATCATGCATATCTCTCATTTTATTCATATCTCTTATATCGTACATATCCTTCATGTCATTCGTATCTCTTATCTCATGCATATATTTCATCTCATGCACATCCTTACTATTGTGCTTATCAAACATATCCATAATGCCTAACAAAATGAATGACCTAACTAAAGTAGAGTATTCAAGGAGTCAAACAAACATTTTGAAAAATATTTTTATATGACAATATTAGTAATAGCCTTCATAAAATTAATTTTTAAATTTTATTATTTAACCTAAATCTTATTAATTTTCCATCTCATTAATCTACTGTCATGGAATTAATGTACTGTAGCAAAGCTTTTTTTTTCCCACTTTTGCACGCATGCAATGGCTGAGATGTTTCTTGGATTCAAAA